AATACATAACACTAATACAGATAAATTATACTAAATTAATGATAATATCTAATAACTAATAGATGCAACAGTAATAAGTAACACTAGTACCAGTAATGTATAATGGGTAATAGTATTAATGTACTACATAATACTAGTACGTACAAATAGTACATAACACTGATACAGATGAATTATACTGAATTTATGATAATATCTAATAACTAATAGATTTAATAGTAATAAGTAACACTAGTACCAATAATGATAGGTATTAGTATTAATGTACTACATAATACTAGTACGTACAAATAGTACATAACACTGGTACAGATAAATTATACTGTTTTTGTGATAATATATAATGACTAATAGATTTAACAGTATAAATAACAATAGTACCAATAAGTAATAATGTATATTAGTATTAATGTACTACATAATACTAGTACGTACAAATAGTACATTACACTAGTACAGATAAATTATACTGAATTAATGATAATATATAATGACTAACAGATTTAACAGTATAAATAACAATAGTACCAATAATGTATAATGTATATTAGTATTAATGTACTACATAATACTAGTACGTACAAATAGTACATTACACTAGTACAGATAAATTATACTGAATTAATGATAATATATAATGACTAACAGATTTAACAGTAATAAATAACAATAGTACCAATAATGTATAATGAGTAATAATATTAATGTACTACATAATACTAGTACGTACAAATAATATATAACACTAATACATGTAACCGGATTACGGTATTCCAGTTCTTTGATTTCAAAAATTTCGCGCCTTAATTTTATTTTATTTTTTTTTTTTTGAGAACTCGGATTTCGGAAATCCGAGTACTACTGTTTATTTAAGGAGTCTAGGTCCTGGACTCCTCCTTATTTGAGTTCAAATATTTCGCGCCTCAATTTATTATTTTTTAATGGGACTCGGATTACACAAATCTGAACGGCACTGTTCATGTAAGATTTTTTAAAAATTATTATTCAACAAAAATTTATTTAATTATTATTTTATTATTAAATGTAGATTCGGATTTCCGAAATCCGAATGTTTAATTTTATTTATAACTCGGATTTCGGAAATCCGTAGGATATATTCTTGTTTACAAATATTCTGAAAAATTTAAATTTGTCCACCTTTATTTTAATTAAATTTTTTTAGGGAAAAGACCCGTTAAACTTTTGTGCGGGCACCCCATAAAGAATGAAATTTTGGTCACTTATGTTTGGGATAATATAACTTTTTGTTCCTCACCTTTGACAATCAGTATTTTTAATCCTTTAATTTTGGAAGTCTTGATATGTTTGGTATCACAAAATAGTTAAATGTATAAAGCACGACGATGTAAATAGAACATTTGAACTTAATACAGTACAAAATGATTAAATTCCATACTATTGATAAAGTAATTAAGTATGTGAGGGCTAAAAATACTCCATTTGATCAATTATCAATGGCAGGTACTCAGAATTTTGAATCAGTTATCTGTCAGCTAGATAATTGACAGTAGCTATGCGTGATTCTAACATGTATAACACGTCTGGCCAGCTGTTGCGTCAAAAGAAGCAAGCGGCGTGGATAGTGTACATGATCGATAAGTTAGCGATAACAGGTGATATATTTGTGACTTTACACATAGAGAATTGTAATCGTAAAATTACAAATAATTTGTTCAACTACTCATGCGCATGACTGCATTTGTTACCAACACAGATATTACATACTAGTTTTAGCAAATAAAAATGATAAAGAAGTAAAAGAAAAAAGTTAACCTACAAATGAACAATATTTTTTTTTTAAAAAAAAAACAAAGGAATAATACTTGAGCATTAAGTATCCCAACGAAAACACAAAAGCTATAATCTAAACCGTTAAACTTTTGTGCGGGCACCCCATAAAGAATGAAATTTTGGTCACTTATGTTTGTGATAATATAACTTTTTGTCCCTCACCTTTGGAAATCAGTATTTTTAATCCTTTAATTTTAGAAATCTTGATATGTTTGGTATCACAAAATAATCAAAAGCACAAAGGACGATGTAATTAGATATTTTCAACTAAATAGGGTACAAGAGGAAAAAATGTAGTTGCTACCCAAAGCTTTGCCTTCGTCGTCAATCATACCCAATAAATTTTTGATTAGCCAACTTTACCAAAATGTTTAAAATTTTCACCAATTTCGTCCAATCGACCCATTTTCCGTCCAAATTAACGGATCTCCGTTAGTTTTTTAATAAAATAATAAATTTAAATACAAAAACACCCCAGTAGTTTGTAAAAATTTTAAAAATAACCCCTAAAATATATAAAAATAACAAAATAGTCCCTTTTAACTTTTTTATTTCATTTTTCTCTATTTTTTTCCATTTCTCTCAACTACTTTTAATGACCATAAAAGTATATTATATGAGTTTTAAAAAAATATTTATTTATTCTATATGATTCTATTCTATATGTTAATATATCTAACTATAGAGGAAGTCTTACTAGCTTATTCCATATGATTTTATTTTAAAATAAATGAATGGAGGTAACAATATAGTAATAAGTTGTTGTTATAAAAAATAGGTTTTAGATTCAAGAAAGAAAACTTATGTTTGGAGGATTTTTTTTAAGGTTTTAATTATTTTATATTTTAGTTATTTTTTTATGAATTATATTAATACAAGTTATAGTCTCTTTATGTTAAATTGTAATACACTAAAATATATTAATATTTTTTTATTTGAGCTAATATTTTATTTTTTATGTCAAATATTAGTTTCATTTAAATGTTTTTAATCTTTATTTTAGGAAGAATAAAATAAATCAAAAAAATAGTGTCTTAATTATTTTATATTTTACTTACTTTTTTATGAATTATATTAATGCAAGTTATAGTCTCTTGAGTTAAATTGTAATACACTAAAATATATTAATATTTTTTTATTTGAGCTAATATTTTATTTTTATGTGAAATATTAGTTTCATTTAAATATTTTTAATCTTTATGTTAGGAAGAATAAAATAAATCAAAAAATAGTGTCTTTATTGCTAAACTATATTATTAAAAATATTAACATGCTTATATAAATACAATCATGGGTTACAACTATGCAAAGATTAATTTTTATGGTAGAGTTTGAAAATAAATAAATATTTTTTTAAAACTCATATAATAGACTATTATGGTCATTAAAAGTAGTTGAGAGAAATGGAACAAAATAGAGAAAAGTAAAATAAAAAGTGAAAAGAGACTGTTTTGTTATTTTTATATATTTTAGAGGTTATTTTTAAACTTTTTAAAAATTATTGGAGTGTTTTTCTAATTAAATTTATTATTTTATTAAAAAACTAACGGTGATCCGTTAATTTGGACGGAAAATGGGCCGATTGGACGAAATTGGCGAAAATTTCAAACATTAGGGTAAAGTTGGCTAACCGACAATCTATTGGGTATGATTGATGACGAGAGCAAAGCTTTGGGTAGGAACGATATTTTTTCCAAGTACAAGATGATTAAATTCTGTATTACTGATAGCCTATTTAAGTATGTGAGAGCTAGAAATACTCTTTTTGATAGATGTTTCAATTAACATTGCAAGCATTCATAATTTTGTATCAATTATCTGTCAGCTGGATAATTGTCGGTTTCATACGAGATTCTAACATATATAACACGTCTGGTTGTTGCGTCAAAAGAGACAAGCGATTGACGTGGATATTGCATTTGATCGACAGGTTAAAGATAGAACGTGTTGTATTTGGACTCAGAGATAATCGTAATCATACAATTATAGTTAATTTTTATAACTACTCATTCGCATGAATGCATTTATTACCAACACAAGGATAATACATACTAATTTTAGCAAATAATAATGAGAAAGAAGTAAAAAAATTTAATAGACAACTATAAAATAAATTTTTTTAAACAAACGAAAATACTTGAACAAACGAAGATAATATATTTACAATAATGATAAAGACAATGAAAAATACATAGTTATTAATGTGTACATAATAATTATGGAAAAATTGTAACTTCGGTGGGAAAATAATATTCAATGTCAAAATATTAACAAAATAAGAGGGTTATAGTTACTATAGATATCATTTTTTATATATTTATTATAGTCATTAGTATTATTATTTTTAATTCATTTTGAATACGCTTGATAAAATGAGAGTAGCCAATTTCCTATGTGAAAGAATAGACAAGACTTTTATCACTTTCAAAATAATTTTTCACTTTTGATTCAGGCGTGAATATGTAACATAACAATCATTCTGAAATAGAGGAAGTAACATCCTAGAAGAATGAAGATAAAAATATAAATTGATAGATTTTTTCTTTTTTAAGATAAAAATAAAGTATCCCAACGGAAACACAAGCTCTAATCTAAACCGTTAATCATCCACACTCATCCTCCAACAACTTATATATAAATTGAAAGAGAATGAATAACATATATAACTAATGATATGGAGTCTAAAATGTAAATTTGTAAAGTTTATAAACTGCAACATGATATTATTCTCTCTGGTCCTTATTATAAGATATTTTGATTTCGTCCTAGGTTTTACTTAGAATATCTTTTTAATTGAAATAAAAATATTAAAAATATTTCATAATAATTAAGAGAACACAATGAATGTGAAAATATATTTTGAAGATTTTTTTTTTAAATTAAAAAGAAATCCTAAGTTAAACATAGGACAGAATCAAAATGCTTTATAATAAGAACCGGTGAGAGTAATTAGTTATTTTATGCTCTATCTATATTAATCAATTTTATCAATTCAACATTATGACAATTGACTGTCATAATACAATTCTACTCATTTGTGAATTAATTCAAAAATAGAAAAAAGAAAAAAATAAATTATGTAAATATCTCGATTTGCAATCACCAACCTTAAAATACCCACACAAAACGCGAAAGAAAAAGGCAAAACGTGTGATTTTATTATACAAGTAATTTCGTTTTTTTTTTTTCAAATTGGAAAATTTTTTAAAAAGACACACTTTCGCTTTCCGCCACCATCTTCCTCCTTCTTAACCGACCACCACCATTTCTACCGCGAAAAATGGCTCAGGCCACCTTGCTTCAGCTGCTCAACGTTCCAGATGAAGACGATATCGACGACGTTGTCGACCAAGTAGAATTTCAACATTCCGACGGCCGGCGCCGCCACCGCCACCGCCACCGCCACCACAACCGTCACGACCGACAGCTGGACCCATATTGGTCCTCCGAATTCGAAATCTTCGGTTCAGATCTCTCCTCCGATTTCTCGCCATCAGATGTCCTTCCTCTTACCAGAAACCTCAGCGGACAGCGCACTCAGTCATTGTTCATCGACTCGTTAAACGACGACGTCTCTGAACCGGAATCGGTCATCACCAGTGCTGATATCTTCGACCGCGAGAATCAAGTTAATTTCGTCATGGACCTCCTTCACCAGCGAGTTGAGCAGTCCCAATTACCCGCAACCCATTTGGCGATTGACCCGGACTTTTCTGATGCTGCCCAGGGTTTCGACCCTCAATTTGGGACTGTTCAAGGCAACGATGATATTGACCCGACCCAATTGGATCCTGATCTGGGTTTGGGGTTTCTGGACTCGCCGGAGGTGGGAAATTCGGGTTTCGTGGAGGAGAACTTTGACAGCGAGGAGCATTTCGTTACCGGTTTGCGGGTTGTAGATATGGGTTCGGAATCGGATTCTGATTTAAGCGATGTGGAGATTGAATTCGATGCTGACGATGACGATGATGTAGAGAATGCATGTGCTGAGCTGAGTGACGAGGGTGATGATGACCCAAGTTTGGGGCTTTGTTGGGATTCATTTCAGATTGAGGATCATAGGGAGCCGAATGAGGATTTGGAGTGGGAGGAAGTGGACGAAGGGGTTGATGAGAGAGAGGTTTTAAGCATGTTTTTGGATGATGATGATGATGATGTGTCAGTGATGGCAAGGGAGGATATGATTGGTGTGATGGGGGGTTTGGAGTGGGAGGTTTTGTTGAATGTGCACAACATGGAGGCAAATACTGAGATTGGGACTGAGGGATTCAATGAACTGAATTTTGGTGATCATGAGCACGATGAGTATTATGCCACCGAGTATGATATGTTGTTTGGGAACTTTGCAGAGAGTGAAAATCCCTTGATGGGCAAGCCACCGGCTTCCAAGGATGTGGTCAAGAATCTACCTTTAGTGGTTTTCACTGAAGAGGATTTGGAAAAGAATGATTTGATTTGTGCTGTTTGTAAGGATGACATGGCTGTTGGCCAGAATTCGAGGCAGTTACCTTGTAATCATAGATATCACGGGGACTGTATTTTGCCGTGGCTGGGGATCAGGAATACTTGCCCTGTTTGTAGGTATGAATTGCCTACTGATGACCAAGCGTACGAAAGGAGGAAGAATAGCCTAAGAGCCGCTCTTCTTCATTGAAGGTAATATTTGATGATGCTGATTTTCTCTGTTTCATTCAGTATGCTTTTCCTGATGTAGATAATGTTACTATACATGTAATTATTTGAATTCAACTTGTAACTGAGGAGCACCTAAATGTTCAATCATTTGCATCAGCTTGTCTGTGTAAGTTAAAGAAGTTACTGTTAGGAGCATTTTGGTGAAGAATTGGCTCAGGCAGTCATTTAGTTTGCAGCTTTACATATTTTCTAAGTGGTATAAGGTGCACTGTGTTGCTAATACTCATAATCAACTGTCTTTGGTTTTCCTTAGAGCTCAATATCTTGATTGGTGTATGGCCATCCTGTCATTTAAAACTGTGATTGAATATCTCGATCGGCTCTGTACCTTCATGCAAGCACCTGTGATTTAGTATTTAGTTTTGCATTAAACAAAGGAGCTAAATATGAATTATTTTGTGCTCTGGTGTTACTGTTAATACTTTTACTTTGTGGGTTTCGGGGCTTCAGTGGCTTGGTAATATGGGTAGCTGTTTTGCCTGATGCACCACCAGGTTGCTTTTTTGATATTGATTGGTTATAAAATTTCCAAAGTTCCGCTGTGAGCTGTACATATCTCTCTTGTCCTGATTGATGTACTCAAATTTCTTGGAGACTGCAGATAAATGTTAAATACTTAGCTGGCTTTGATGCAATAGTTCATGTTTTCCAAGTTTAGTTCTTTCTTTAAGAAAAATCTTAAACTTGTTATTGAGGGGCTGATTTTCAGGATTCTACAGTTCTCATTGTGTTTCGATTTCACATTCGATCATGATTTATACCATTGATTTGTAGCAGTGCTAGTAAATGAATCATTTATTCCAGTTATCTTTGCATGTGTTGATTTGTCAATGTAGCTACCAGAGATTCAAATTACTTGCTACATAATGCAAAATATTGTCTTTTACTGCTGTCCTGAATGTTATTAGATATATAAAAAAAAATAAAATTCACGGCTTCTAGCAATTGTTGAATTTCGGGGTAGACGTGGTTGAAATATAGAAGTTACGAAGCTTTTAAATGTCAAGTTTCTTCTCAGTCAGATTCCTATTTTCAAAATAGAAAATTGATGGGTTTGATCCTAGTTTGAGGCTTTCTTTAAGTGGTAGTCCGATTTAGAAGAATTCTGTTTCTGTGTAACCTATTTGTTGTCAAAGTGGCATGCAGTCTCTGCCTAGTATTGTTTGGTTTAGGGTCTTGCAGAGATTAAGCCGAGCGTCATTACTGAACTCCTTACAATAATCCAATCCAAGGGCAGGTTACTCTTTACAGATAGCAAGAACAATAAGCACAGGGTGGGATGAGTTATCTTTTCCAACTTGGCAGAGTATTTTATTGTGTGTTGCACTCTTACATGCTAGAAGAAAGCTTTTTTATCTGCATTGGTGTTCTTGGGCTTCTATGCATGTGTTACAGGTGCAAGGATGAAATAACACTTTCTTAGAAAAGCGCAATCCTGTTTGTACTTGCATTTCTACCAGTTGTCAAACTTTCTTTCATAGATTGTCATTCGCTGATCAGAGGTGTTTTCCTGATTTTTATAGGTTATGGATCCTTACAAATGCATCCATCTACTTGCTGGAGCTGTTGACCTAAGATATGTCGAAATTGTGCTTTCTGATCCCCTAGGGTGTGTTTCTCTGTTGAATCAAATGTTTAATCACAGAGATCAGACTTCTGAGGATGTTGATGAATTCAGACCTGAAATTGGAAGAAGCTGACTTGTTATGACCATTTATCGTGTCAAAGTGTACTTGGTGAAGACGAGACAACCAGGAAATGAAGCATCTAGATGTAGTACTATTATCATCATTATTTTTGACCTCCATAGAGATGTAATTTTCAATTTCAACCACAGAATGATGATTTGCCAAGAGCCTTCTTTTTTTTTTTTTGGGTTGTTGTTGGAGGCAGTGGAATACCCTATCCATATGTGTAAGTAATGTAAAACTCCCATATGACAAAATTGCGTAGTGTACATGTGAAAAATGGTTGTCAATGTTTGCAGTATATCTTGTCTATGAGCTATATTGTATCCCTGTTTTTAAGATTAATGTCTGTTAATGAAAATGTCAGAGCTTTGCGGGGTGGCATACTGGCAATAGATCCTTTTGCCTGCTTCCAAATTGTTCGAAATCCCATCCCATCGCAAACACTCATAATTAAGCATCTTTTTTTTATTTTTTTTATTTTTTTTTGTGGCATCCTTTTCCATGATAAGAATGAAAACCCGGAATAGCTGATGATGTTAGGTTGTACCTGAGGGGAAAATGCCTTTTCCTGAGTTCACCGCCTTATCATAGTATCTATGACTGATTTTACGAGATCTTTTCTTTCTGCCTATCCCTTTTTACATGACTAGTGTTCTCAACTGATGATCTCTGTTCTTTCTGTACATCCCCTCTCACATAACTAGCATCTTAGTCTTAGGTATTCTCATACTCATGCTCCAAATTGTAATTTGTTATGATTACAAACGTCATCATTGAGGAGATGATATACCTCATAAGGAGGAGAGTTACTGAGATAGATTCTAAAGGCAACTTTTCATCTAAATGTAGGCTTGTAGCCAATTTTCTTGCAGATTTAGAAGAAAACATGTCAACAGAAATTGCTAAATTGATGATCCCGAACAAAAATTACAAGCACATTGAATGATCCCAAACAAAAACCAGACTTAAATTAGCTTAAATTTAATGCTATAATTAACAAGATTAAAACTTTGACATTCTTTTCTTTTGTGATAAGATTCTGAGTATATGACAGTTTGACACTCTGATGCCAGAAATGTTTCCTAAGGATACATCATGTATTTATTTCATGGTGCAAACACCATTACATAAGTACTGGACATTACAAAGAAGTTCCAATCCTAGTCTTCTAGATCCATATCAAAAAGCAGAAAGCACTGAATCAGTTCTTCTTTGCAGACTGCTTCCCGTTTGAAGTCTCACCCGGAGCCTCTTCCTCAGACTTGGACACATTGTTGAGCATGCTGATGAAACTAGCAGGATCCGCGAATGATTGACTTGGAGAGAACCTAGACAAGGATTTGAAGAAGAAAATATCGGATACTGATGAAGCAAGGCATCACCATTTTGACTTATAATTATTGAACTACCTGCTTGCCTTCACAGTCTGGCCATCAGTAGTCACTTTGACATCATAAATATTGCCTGTACAAGTTGTGAATAGAATCAATGATAATACACTTCCCATTGTTCCTCTCACCTAAATAGCAGTAACATATGTTCAAACAGAACCCATCTACCAAAATTGGTATCTACCTATATACCAAATTTTACTCTACAATTCTATTAGAACTAAAAAAGATTCGAAAAGCTCACGAAGTACAGATTACAGAAAGGCAGAAAGTGCAACAACCACTTTGCATCAAGCAAAGAAGATCAACTATAGTATTGGCCAAATACTTGCAATAGAAGGTTGTGAATATACAAGGTCCCAACAAATCTTAGAGCATTGTGAGACTGAAAAACTAGAAAATCAACTGAAAAGTAAATAGACAGGCTGCAAGCAACAAACAGATGAACTTGCCTAAACCCATGAAGGATGCTAGAAAAGGAATGTAGCATGAAGACATCCGAAAGCAAGCAAATAGCTACGGTTTCAGAATACATACATCATTCCATCCCACCATAGTATTTAACAGCTTTACCTCCAAACATGGTCTTGTCAGAGAAGTATTTTGCTGTTAGATAGTCTGTCATTTCAGCAAAATACCTTTCAAACTTCTCCTTCTCCTCCCTGTTATCCATAATCCTACAGAATTAAACAGGATAATTTTAGACACATCCACTCCAGAATTTAATACAGGCACATGTATGGCTGGAAATCGATAGTTTGGTGCAATCCAGCACGAAAGAAGGTAACATGAAAAAACAGCTAAATCATCAAATCATGGTTGCAAGACAATTTTCACAAATATATATGCAGCTCAAATGCAACACTCTTTGAAATTCCTTTTTAAAAAACCACAAAATCAAAACTCCAAGGCCAAATAGAGGGAAAAAAGAATATTTCATTTTCGTCAAGCAGAAAGATATGTACCACCCCCTTCCCCAAAAAAAAGAGCAGAAAGATATCCAGAATCCTGTCACTATCTCCCTTGTGGATCAGCTAGCACGTCAATTCTCTTCTTGCTTGTTTATTTTATAAAAGATCCAATAGAATTATCAACTACGGATACAGAAATTATGTTAACAAAGTCTGAAGTCTATGCACATTTCGTAGTCCACATATAAAATTTGGAACTGATACAAACAAGTAACTATTTACAGAGGAACCCAGCACCTACAACTGTAAAACAGAGAAAAACAATTAATCCAGACATTTCAAATTATCTGAAGCACCAAAGAAACATATAAACTAAAATGAATAGCCATTCAAGACTACTTCAACAGAGAATCTCAGATCAAATCGAACTATGAGTTTTGCAGCTGACAGCTCTACAAAATAGTGGACTAATAATTACATACAACACAAAACGTAATACAAAGATGGAAATTAGCAAATCGAAGCAGATGATTGTGTACTTGGGGAAAGCTTTCAGAGAAGACGGGCTGCGGCGGAAGCAACTAGGCGGAGTGATCAACTAAGTTAATGAAGAAGAAATATCAGGGGTTTATATATTGCAATTTCAGGGTTCATTGAACATGTATGGTAATTCTTATGGATCACAGCAGAATAATTTAATAATACACAAAATCCCAATTAAGTGCAACAATTCGTTAGACACATTCTTAGGACCTTTAAAACGGCTGGCTAGAGAAGCACTCGGCACAAAATTAGTAGGCCCAAAATGGTCATATCCAAAGGCAAAATTTCACCCTCCAATCTTTCCAAGTTAGGAACAACTTCAATATCTTGAATTCCATCTCATCTCCCCTTCACCCGGTCCACATTAGGCAATGCCTTTAACCAAACTAAAATCTCTTAAGTCATCTCTCATGTTTTGAAATTCAAAGATTCTTTAGATTATGAATTTACAACTATCACGATAAAGAAATAAAAGAATGGCACAAAATTCCCCGTAACCATCTTTAACTTACACCAGAAAGGAAACTAAGCAGAAGGCTTAATACTAACTGCTTTCATAATTAAGACTGTAAGTCGAATTATTATGTAGCGCAATATTTCCACAAACTTTATATCACATTCTTCAGGTGAGAATTGTGTAACTTCTGGCAAAGTAGCTCTTTGAGCATATGCGTAAAAAGATACAATAGTTCCCTACTTTCCTCAAAATAAATCTCATTCACTTGTACCAGACAACATTGTTAGCTACAAACTTTTATATATGCCCAAAAGAATGATTTCAAGAAGGTATTGATTCCACTGACTTTCCATGTACTTTAATGTTTTCCACAATCAAATTTGGCAAACCGGCAAAGTCATTCAGAGAATATAAAAGTAAAATCAAATTCATTGCATGGACATTTTCCTTCAGTCCCAAAATCCCCCTCAGAGAGAAGAGCGGAAAAAAGATACACACTACTGACCCAATATCCTGGAAGCATGATAAATATTACAAACTCAATGAAATACAAATTAGGCAAGATCACGAACTCAAAAAAGCAGTCATAATGAAAGTTGTCTTAGGAGAGAATTCACATACGCTCAAAGGAAATCTCTTTTTGGAAATTAAATTACGAACAATCCACAACTTTCTTACTACAAAAGTATATGCTTCAGAATGCCAATAAACCATGGAAAATAAACCATAAGCCAAACAAACAACAGAAATATTACACACAACAGACAAAACGATGAGCTTATACAGACCAAAAGATTCAATTCAAAAGAAGCTATTCTGAAACCTCCAGAAGCCTGATCAAATTCCCAAAGAAAGTCTAACCATTGGATTAAAAAATTTCCAGACTTACGCAAAAAGCTCTTCTTTTGGTGTCTCCTCCTTTTTCAGCTCCAATGGAGCCTTCTGACTTGACACATCCTGCTGGAAATGAATTTCAACAAGTGATCCCCCAAATAACAAACAATGTTAAGATCACGAAAAGTAGAAATATAGTAAAAATGCACATGCTCGTATTCATCTAAGAAGAGAATTCATATACAAAAGGGTAGCAATCAACCAATGTTACAAACAGGGTTAAAACCAAGAAAACACACACACACACACCTGTTCGTCTTTGGGGGGCAGCAGAGACTGTGAGGAAGCAGACTCAGAATGAAGCCCAGAATTCGATGCTGAAGCCATCAAATAATCCTTCTCCCACACCTTGAAAATGGGTCTTTCTTTCACTTCTTAAGCCCTATGTAGACGCTGCTTCCTCTGCCAACTTTTTCTTCTTTCCAGAAAAAAAATGAAATAACCGGGCCTCGTCGATTTATGAGTCAAGTGGGATTTTCAAGCGGTTCTCAGTGTCTTAAATGCCAAGAGATCAGAAGAGTTTACACCCATCTACCAAAAATTATTCGAATTTGTTAGTACAATAAATACAGTTTGGACTAATTATGATGACAAATTGGTTTTTGGACTAATTATGAATGGTGGGAGTTTGTATACAGTCGGGAATTCAGTAACCTAGGAAGCAATTGAACTAGTTGTTCACTCATTATGAAAAAACCCAGCAGGGTTCAGCTGTTGAGGTAGCTTTCGTCGGAAGTAATGGCGGCGCGAGGCTAAGAACGGTGGTTGACGGCTATATATATATTTACTATGAAAATAGTTCAAGAGCGACTATAAAATTGGTCAACTGTGAAAATAGTTTATCAACTAAAAAATTTGATATAGGGGAAAAAAGGTCCTTTAAATGTCAAAGAATTAATTTTTTCATTAATAAAAATCCATCCCAGTGTACCCCACTTAAATGTGGGTGAGAATTGAACCTAAAAATTCATCCAGTGTACCCCACTTAAATGGGGTGAGAATTGAACCATGTCTAATATCTGGAAGCATAACATCCTAATCAAGTTGTCATTCAATTCCCTTCCTCAAAAAGAGTTTTTGGGTACAAAAGATTTAAAACTCTTATTACGTGAAGTTGGGATTTCTTTTATTACAAGGAAAGAGACTAAATGCCTAGATTCAAATTATTATATTTTTAGGATATGATACCCCGATAAGATCATGTTGTAATTACATTCTCGCATTCCTTGGCAGAATTTGTAATCACTGCAGTCCTCTGGGACCTTGAGATGTGACGATGCCGGTAATTGTATCACCGGTTTAAAATTGGAACTCCGGTAGGGTTTATCTGCAAAACAAAGCATCGGGCGTCTCCCGAGAGTAGATACTCTGATGCTTAAGTCAGTAAAAGGGTTGTAAGGAGTTGTATGTATAATAATTGGAGCTAGAGATAACTTACCCCATTGTGGTGTAATCAACCCTATTTATAAGCATGGAATTGCCTAGCAGATGTCTGAATCCTACTAGGTTTCATATTGCTAAAATCGCCCTAACAGAGTTGATTGGACCCCTAATCGACGGATGGACCGGTCCAATAATCCTTGATGGATATGGAGTCATCAAGTGCCCCTGTCAAGTGTTAGTTATATGAAATAAACAAAATTTGACACAAGATTAATATTACCTGGACTCGGCCCAAGGTACATGGACAAGTTTCGGTCCAACTTGCACGAAATAGGCCTAATAGAATTATTCGCGGGTCGAGATTCGGACCGAGAAGGTGACCCACTTCATAATCTTGCTCAAACTGAAATCGTGCCCCATTAACAGGCACGTTCCCAAACGATAGCTTGGCATATATTCAATAAACAAGGTTTGAAGGTCTTAGATAGTTACTGGAACCGGTCTCCACTCTCCTTTTGAATTATAGCTTGTCATCATTATTGCCTTCTTGAAAATAGGCGAAATCGTCACATTGTAGGAGAACCGACGCCTTTCTCTCCTTTGGCATATATTCACTGAGAAAAACACCAAATCCATCCTTTCTGTTCACTCTCCAAAATTTGACCTTGCAAGGTGTTGAGAGCTTTTACACCGTCCAGTGTCTCAGTGTCTCTATTGCTGTTGCCGAAAGTGTCACCGTCCGGTGCTGTCGAGGACTACTGTCATCCTGGGAGGCTATAATTCAAAAGGAGAGTGGAGACCGGTTCCAGTAACTATCTAAGACCTTCAAACCTTGTTTACTGAATATCAATTACTCATTTTTCTATACTTGAATATACATTAAACTTGTTGCTGGTAGAGATGGCGAGAAACCCAGATTTGAAACCTGTTGGTGATTTTGCATCGACCATAAACTCCAACCAAAAAACCAAAACTGTGGCTGATAAATACGATATATCTTTAGATCTAGAACCTTGATCCCCTGTAGGTAACGAGAGGGCTAACACTCCACCAAAGGAAAAAGTCACTATAAACGATAGCTTTATGTTTTTAGGGCTTAGATTCCCCATTTTCCCTCTGTTTGGAGAGATTGTCCAACACTATAAGATCCCTCTCGCTTGATTTACCCCAAACCTGATATCCTATGTCTTCGGATTCGTGAGACTGTGTGAACTAGTAAACGTGAGACCTCAATTGCTCGTGTAGAGGTATTTTTTCAAGGCCTGTGTTCCTTCGGCCAAGTTCAAGGATTAGTATAATGTCAAAAAAAACTCAAAATCTGGTGCAATGCAGATTGTAAAGGTATTCAATGGTTCACCGGCGTGGAAACCAGATTATTTGTATGAGAAAGCCTCAGAGGATATCTGTCTTTCCTAGAACTATTGAGAGGAAAATGGTCTTGACGTGATAGTATACGATTGGAGCAAGACTGATGAGAAGAAAATCGAGAAGTATAGAGCTGACATTGAAGCCATGGAAAAATATGAGAATTTTATCTCATGGACTGATGTGCAATATTATATTCCTCCAATCCCAGTCGAGGAGAATGAAGGTACTAATCTCTCTTCTATTTTCTTTGTTTAGGTTATGTCGTCGAGCAGAACCACTTACGGGCTATTTGGTGACGCCGACCCTTTTTATGTTATAAACTCATATGACGACGAGTCGACGACCAAGGTCGAGAAGAAGAAGAAAAAGAAGAGAATAGTGAAGGCCACTGAGAAGGAGCCCCAAAAGAAATCAAAGCATGACCCTCGCATCGAGGAGAAAACTAATCCAACGGAACAGGGGGAGAAGATCGTTCCTCCTGTCATCGAGAAACCAATGGTGCCCCGGGTGGAGCAAACTGCAGGGCCTCACACTGAAAGAGAAACGTACACCGTTAATGTGGCTGGACTGTGGAGAAAGGCAAGGGCCCCTTCGAGGAGAACGTGAGTATACTGCCCTCTCACTTATTCGAGGAAGGCCCTTCAGCTGCAGTGTACACATTCTACAATCCTCCAACCATAGACTGCCCCTTGTTAGAAGATATGGTGACCACATTGACTGAGGCAGACAGTTTGAAACTCGTAAGTGTCCTTTGAATTTCTATGTATCTATGTATGAACAACCATAACTTTAACATGTGTGTGTTTTATTTACTTTGCAGAAGAGTATTGTCATGTTGAGCTGCATGATGCGTTCGAGGAAGTTAAGACAGGAAATTGCTCAGGTGGAGCAAGAAAAAACTGCCCTAGGTGATCTCCTTGAGAAGGAACAGTGGTCTCTAGCTACCAAAGAGAAAGAACTCGCCTCACTGCAGGCAAGATACGAGGAGTTAGAGACGAAGATGAGAAAATATGGCAATCTCCACATCTCGAAGGCAGACCTGCACAAATGGTTTTCTGCCGTGTGGCTAAGGATGCTATCTACTGGTGACATGGTCGAGGAGGTTGAGAAGGTCAATAAGGCGGCCACAGAGTATGGAGGCCATGGCGTTGCAGTGGAGGGTCTGAAGAGGCTCTCGAAGAAAAAACGAATCAAAGAAAAATGGTTCAAACAGTTCCTGAAACCACATTCTCGAAAGACCCTCCATGAGGCCTTGATGAGATGTCCCACGCAGCTGAATGTAGAGCAACTGCTACTGTAGGGATCGCTAGGCAGTGTCCTTGTGAACATGGGATCTCTGGAAGATACTTGCCCCGTTTTCAGGCGATGGTTCCATGGTTCTGACTGGTACTCCTGCTGACGAGCTGCCCATTCCAGATGTGCCAGACAGAGATTGGGATTGACCTTGTCGAGAAAGATGATGATGAAGATGATGATAGTGGTGACTCAGAAGAAATCGACACCGGTAATTCCGGAGCTAAGGAGAATGATCCTCCAGTCGAGAAGAATACCGGAGGAACCGCCATTCCCAACCCAGGGTGTGTCTAGGGAACATCCGAAAGTCATCTAAAGAATCCTCCCAACTCCCAAGATGCTGTATGAACTCCTATTTGTAATAGCTCTTAGGAACTTGTCTAAACAATTTCTTTTGTAAACAATTTTCCTCTCTATTGTTTTTTTTATATGGATAATGCATTGTTTTGCCTTGTTATCTAATGTCGGCTCCATGTTTTCCTATGCAATAGGACAGTTGGCCTGTTCAACGCGTCCATCTTATGGTCTTATCTGAGGAACAATCCGAGCAGTATCTTTTGTATTCCCTGATTTTTATTATCATGAGAAAAAGGGTAGACATTCATAGTATCAAAATTGTGAGGGCCCTTAAGCCACAATGTGAAGGTCAACCACCGTTTGATCAACGAGATCAAAGGGATCCACGAGGAAATGCGCAAACCAGATTTCCAAAAAGATCGAGATTATCAAGATTCCTTGATTCTAGAGACACACATGTGTGACGAGATGGCTGCATTGGAGCGAGAGAACGCCAACTTGAGAGCTAATAAGGAGATCGTCATATCCCCGTGGTTTCTCGAGAAACATAATGCACTTGCTGGAGTAGAACACATGATTCTTGTGAGGACTCGTCGGTTTTGTCACTGCAATAGAATTGCTGAAAGAAAGAACCCGTGATATGGAACTCCTTACCGAGTACAGCAGTGTCCTGCAGAATTTGCTGGTAGAACAGAAGATTGACTTTCCAAGTTTTGAAAAGCTCGTAGAGTTGGTAGATCCAAAGACCAGGAACTCTCGAGAAGAACTACTTCTAAGAATGAATGACCAGGATGATGAGATTGCAGACCTGAAGGATAAGCTCAACCAATGTGTGAATCTTCTTAGCCAACACGGGTTTAGAGGTATTATACGTCTTTCTTCGGATAACCCACGAAGGCAGGTCCTTGTAATAGTGTAGAAAACATGTGTGTTTTCCATAACCTCGTACAATGTGTGAATGTATTTTTACCATATGATACTTGAGTAGTACTATTTATGTAGTGCTTTTGTTCGGCCGGATATAAAGTACACGGTTTTTTCGAGGGAACTAGGTACATGTTCCTCGATGTTATAATACCACGATCTACGGCGAGTACAAGAAGGGTTCCTCGGTTTTATGTTTGGATATTGAATACACGACTCAAATCGAGGATGGCCCTAAAGAGGGTGTCCATCTCGCAGACTAGTTAAAATATAGTGTCGACACAAGTATATGTTATGTGAAAAGTATGCAATGACTTTTATTGAATAATTACACAAGGACCCAGGTTATCATTACATAAAGGGATAAAAACAACCACATAGATCAAATAAATATTTCTAAATTAGCAAATAGCAGATAAGGACTTAAACATAGAACCTACGAAGGTTCTAGACATTCCACCATCGAGGGAGAGTGGTTTCAGTGTCGTCCGTTGTCTGTAGGCAATAGCTGTTGGAAAGGGAAGTTTCAATGAATCGATAAGACCCTTCCCAGTTTGCTGATAACTTTCCAGGAGACTGTGCTCGACTAGATTCATTTTTCCTAAGTACCAGATCTCCAACTGCGAAGTCAGTGCTTTTGACTCGCTTATTATAGTGCTTTCTGAAAATCTCTTTGTACTTAGTTTCCTGGACTTTTACGGCATCTCGCCGTTCCTTGAGTAGGTCAAGGTTAGTAAGGATGTATTCATTGTTGGTGTCTTCGACGAAGTTGATGGTTCAAGGACTGGCAAGGCCAATCTCGACAGGAAGGATGCCGTCCATTCCATAGACCAAGCTGTATGGTGTTTCATTGGTCGAGGAATGAGTCGTGGTGCGATAGGCCCATAGGACATAGGAAAGTTCGTCGATCCAAGCGCTTTTGGCATTCTGTAGCCTGGTCTTGATTCCATGCAAGATGGTTCTATTAACGGATTCTGCTTGGTCTTTGGTTTGTGGATGGGCAACAACAGCGAATCGATGCTCAATTTGCATCTCAGCACACCAGGACTTGAAGGGATCGCTCTCGAACTGAGTGCCATTATCCGACACAATTACTTTGGGCACTCCAATTCGGCAAACCACATTCTGCCAGAAAAAATTCAACACCTTCCTTCCAGATATCGAGGCCAATGGTTTTGCTTTTACCCACTTAGTAAAATAATCAAGTGCCACGATAACCCATCGTAGCACTCCTGCCCCTTTTGGAAAAGGTCCGATGATGTCTGTTCCCATCGATAAAAGGGCCAAGGACTCTGGATAGTGACCATCTCATGTTGCAGTTGTCGAGTAATGAGAGAGAAGCGCTGACATCTATCGCACTTTTACCCAAACTGGTATGTATCTTTAAAGACTGTAGGCCAGAAGGAGCCTGCCCAGAGGATCTTTTTAGCTAATCCTCTAACTCCCATGTGTGCGCCACATTATCCTTCGTGAACTCCTCGAGGACATAAGCCCCCTGCCTTGGGCCAATACAACATAGCATTGGTAGCAGGTACCCATGCTTGTAGAGAATTCTATCTTTTAGAGTGTACTTGACGGCTTTTAGTTTCAACGCCCGACCCTCAGATTTATTGTTAGGCAAGGTCCTGTCTATCAGGAATTGAACAAATGGTGTCATCAACGTATCTCCATCCTCTGTGACTGTCAATGTTAGACTCCGTTGGATGCTAGGTTCGGGGAGTATCTCGACCCAGACCTTGTGAATGAGATGTGCGAAGTTGGACGAAGCCAGCTTGCTTAGGGCGTCAACTCTCTTGTTTCTCGATCTAAGGATATGAGATATGGAACACCTCTCAAATTTATCCCTCAATTTGAGGACTTTTTTGAGATACTACCTAAGGTGTTCCTCATTAGCATTATAATCCCCGTTTATCTGTTTGACAACCACCTGGGAATCGTTGAAACTTCAAGGTTTCAAACTCCAAGTCTCAGAGCCATATTCGACCCCGTGATCATTGCTTTATATTCAGCTATGTTATTGGTAACTGGGAAACCAAATCTTAAACCAGTATGTGTACTCTGCATTGTATTCCTTTATCTTCTCGATTTCATGCCCTGTTGAAGGTTTTGCTAGAATGATACTAGCTTCTCCCCTTTCCTCGCAAGATGAGCCATCAAAATAAAGAGTCCAAGCTCAAGGATCTGTCACGGCACATTTCTGTGGAAGGAACTTTAAACAATAATTAAAAGGCCAACTGAAGATGAAAATACATAAACTTGGATATATGTACATAAACCGAAGAATCTTCACTCTCAATAAAATCGTGGCAGCGAGTTCCGGTGGTGCCAATCTTCATCGAGTTAATCACTACATCTTTTGCCACTTTGATCCAGTTTGGAGAAGAGAAGAATGAGTCATGAAATCAATCTTTGCTCCTCTTTCCATTCGTTCCTTAATTCGTACCGTCTCCATAGAAATTTGCGAGAAGATGTTAAACCCTTGCAAGGAGGTTGCGGCAACACTTGCATTAGCGCGAGAAAGAGATTGGATAGGGGAGGTCATGCTTCAATCTCCGGATGAAGGTTGGAATCACTAATGCAACATCTTATCATAGTAAAACTTTTTGTACAGGCTAGGGGAATAAGAAGAACTTGGTTGTTTCAATTTTGAATTTGACCTAGCCAGTGAAATGAGTTTCGGGATTGATTCCGACGACATGATCAACTACTCGTTCTTCAGTAAGAACTCATTTCCAACAAGTGGATTGAAGACACCGGACTCAATATCGAGTTTTTCTCCTTCTTTTTCACCGTTGCTGATGATCGGACAATCTCGTTCAGCGTTGCCTAAGATATTCTTCGAATATCTCTCGCTCCGCCCTTTTAGTATTGCTAGGCTCAATGATTTTTTGTGCGCCGAAGACTGTGCCCTATTGAAATCAACCCTTTTACCACAGCAAGGTGATGGTGATGGAGTCAGAAGATGATTGTGAGAGAATAGTAGTTATGGTATAGGTTGAGAAATTGCAAGATTTGTTCCAAATTCAAAATTGATCAATTAAGATTTGATATGATAAGCTAGAATCGGATTATATTTGATGTAGTGACCTTCAAAAGTGGAAAGGATAATAATAAAACAATAAACAAAGATAAGTTATATATTTTAATTGGTGTATTTTTTTTATCCTTCCAAATAAATAAAAAATTATAGAAAATTGTCAATCCTATGTGGAAAGTGAAAAACTGCATCAATTTCCTCTCTCTGTGTTTTTCTATCCCTTTTACCCTATAAAAGCAGAAAACAGGATGTTGATGTGCCAATTTCTTATTAAAAGGTTTTAGTTCCAAATGCACCATATTGCATAAACCATTCTGCCACGTGTCACCCCCTTTTAAAAACAAAAAATATATTTACAATATTAACGAAAAGATCAAATGGTCATCTTCATTCAAATTTTGAATTTGACAGTGAATGGAACTTTCCTTCTCCACTTATTTAGGACTTTCGAAAAAATTAATTTTCGATCAATCAATTATCTTCATCAAAAACTAAATTCACTCCTAATCAATTTTGATTATTTACATATTAATTTATTAGATGGGAGGACGCCCCTGGACATTTGCCCGGAGCAAGCATCTAATTATTAAGTTATATAGAATAGATAGATTCTTTTCCAAATGCATTTTTTCTACAAAAATACTTTCTAAACTTTTTCTCCAAAAAGAGTATTATAAAAAAGTTTTATAAAAGCTTGTCCAAATGGAGCCTAAAATTATTATTATGTGAAGTTGGAATTTTTAATACACATTTTAAGTCAATACACACATTATCTCTAACATTAATATCGACATCGGAACCTGAAAGGTTATCAGCTCGCTCTTTTCTTTATGAGTCTGAAAAATATCAAAGCCATCATTGATGTCATTAGAAGTATTTGCTGGCGAAATATAATACAATACTGTATATGATATTTTAGACAATCACAATCATGCAACATTCCACGGTCTAACATTTATAGACTACATAATACTACTAATACTCCTATATTGCAGCATTCCAACCATCACCTTCTTATGAGCAAGGATGGAACAATTGATATGGCAAATGCCACTTAAATACAAATATCCCGTCTTTTTGTTTCTGCTAAAACCATATTTCCATTTGCTGGAATGCGCCTGAAGGAGGTATCAAATCAGGTAGTCCTCCAACATTGCTAACATGGGACTAGGAGAATCAATTCCATCTAAGAGCTGGAACAATATCCCATCCATGCGCGCTTGAATCCCATCGGAGGATGACAAATTGTCTAACAGATTCAACATCCTCTTAGCAATTTTAGCATTTTGATTTGCTCCGGCGAGAAAACTTCGAATGCCACATAACTTTTTAAGCAGAGACGGTGCCCTGACCATCTCAACAAGCGTTACCTGGATGCAAAAAAAGATACAATCACTTTCATGGAAATGCCATAATTCACTGAACAGTAAGGATATAGCCTCCATAGGCTCATAGACACCTCATGATCCTGCCGTATATTTGCCTTTTGCTTTGCTATTGCAACACAACGACGGAAACCACCAATGGCATCAACTAAACCTCGTGAAGCCGCGTCGTTACCTGTCCAAACTCTACCTTGTGCCACTTCCTCCATTTTCTCTACCTGCCATTGCCAACAGGAAATGGAACTTTGAAATGAAATTAAATAAATTTCCTCCAAACAGGCCTGCATAAATAGTTTGTCCACTTACAGGCATTGATCTTGAAACCGCAGCATTGTCTCGGAATTGGTCATACAGATTCTGAGCCAACTTAGCAAAGAGTTCTGCCTCATCAGATCTGCAGTTAATAAAACAGTGCTGTTACTTCATGTTAACAAACTAAGAATGATTTCAGTACGTCACAAGTTGAAGACAGCTCGATTGCATGTTCATGGCTGTTCAAATGTACATCAGCGAAATGCGACGGTGAACATGGTCAAATTAAGCAAAGAGCTGACTGAGAAGTGTTTATAAATTCCATTTCTTCTGAGGAAATAGAGGGTTGAGATAAATTTGAAGCAAACAGACATCGCAAAAATGCAGTTCAGCTTTGTTATTCTTTCAAAAGCAGAAGAAATGGCCGTTCCATTAATTTCCCTCGATTAAATGTACCCAAACTTCAACAAAGACTAACCTGAAGGGACGTTGATTAGCAGCAAAAAGCTCAGAAAACCTTCCCCTGGATATTATCTCCTTGTTGAAACCAATCTTTTCATACAATTTCCCATGGTTGAGCATTGCTACAATCGACCGAAAATCAATTTATCAGTCTGTCAAAAAATTATGAGTACTTCTCCATCATCTTAAACAGTGTCTTAATCACTGCCTAAGCTACATTTAGCTACATTCTGAATAACCCTTTAAATGATCAATAGAAAGCCATTCTACAATCTTAAACAAAAAGCTTATTAGTGGCCTAAATTGCACACTAAGTAGTCCTCAGGCCACTTTGCGTGCCTCAAAAATTTCATAATAAAAATGAGCAAGCATCTATATCACTGAAAAACAACATTGGAAAACAGAAGTAATCTTCAGTAGAATTGCTAAAGTTACCAGACACAACTCCAATTGAACCAGTTAATGTGAGATTCTCTGCAACTATAACATCAGCTCCCATTGCCATATAGTATCCTCCACTTGCTGCCATATCACCCATTGATGCAATGACAGGCTTTGACTCCGACAAAACTTTGATTTCCCTCCATATTCTGTAGAACATATCCTCATCAGTAACAAATGCACAAACTTAGTGAATGTTTTACTGTTCAGTTATAAGTTTTATAAGTTAAAAAAGGAATAAAGAAGAGACCGAGTATGGTGCTTGTAATTATTGGCTGATTACAAATTTACATATTTAGAGTATCCACCATCCAAAATTTACATAATATGTCGATGAGGTGCCAAAGATTACTCGAATCAATCATCAACCTCAAACCTAAATATGGCTCAAAAGAAATGACTTACGAAGTAGATGCAAGAACATCACCTCCAGGACTATCAATGCGGATGATAACAGCCTTGAACTTTTTTGACTCTGCAAAAGGCTTATCACATTAACAGGAGAGAACAGGGAGAAACTAGGGTACAAAACCAACCATAAAATGAGTGATCGACGACATAATTTTGAGTAGGTGAATGCTAAAAGAACCAAGTCTTTATCCCACAGCAGAAATTCCACTTCAAACTCAAGAAAATCTTACTTTTAGCACAGCAGAAAAAAGTAAACGATAAGAAGATAATTCTCAAGAGCAATTGTATAAACGATTTTGGAGCAGAACTATGTTATGGTGTAGGGTCAAACGGAAATTACCTTTTGCTTTACGAATCTTCTTAATAATATCTTCAGCAACAATCCCAGAGCCACTATGACTAATACTTCCAGAGGCTCTGATTACAGCTATCTTATCCTTGGAACCAATTAAACCAAGGGTTGATCCCCTAACTGCAGAGTATTTTCTGCAAAGCAGGGATGGCAAACATCAAAGAAATCTTTCAGGTACAATAGCAGGAAATGAAACGTAATTAAATTGCTGAGTCTTAAACATAATGAACAATAAAATTTTAATTGCAGAATTAATGGATTTCTCCTTTTCAGCCATTTTCTACATAGATTTTCTCTTCTATATCACATAATCTTAAAATATACACCAAAAGTCTGGTATTTTGCCTGCATGAAGAATCTGGAAACGACATAGGAAATGACTCACATTGATATTATTTGACTGAGGCAAAGTGTAAGAATATAACCATACGTGGTGATTGAAAAACTCTTGACAGATACTAAGGAAGAGTCACCTGTAACCAACAGTAGGAAGACTCTTATCCTTTGGAAGTTTCAAGCGCTCCTTCAGCATGGTCCTTACCTGTATAGATTGTTAATTTGTAAAAGTTAAATGCTGATCAGCTAAGCTGTACCAAAAATATCAAGAATAGCAAACCTTGGCTTTTAGGTTGATTGCCAAACATTTGATGGCGCTCAGATTACTATTAGTATATACAAGCTCAAGCATCAAAATTTAGGAGCAGAAGATACGATGGACTAAAGATCACAGAGATGAACAGAATAAACTTTACCTCGTCATCGTATTTTATATCAGTTATCCATCCATCTTCTTTAAGCCGTTCAACTTTGTATGCACCTTCATTTAAAAATTTCTCTATATCTTCTTTCCCCTTGCCTGATCAAAAGTTCGGAAAGCCTGATAAATAGAATGAGAAGAAAACAGTTGCTCAGGAATTAACCTCAACAATAATGACTGAAATCACCTATGGTTTGGGAAACTTTATCAATCCAGTTGTTATATATATTCTCAAGCAATGCAGTCAGCATCTCTCGGTTCTCTTCAGACATGTTCTTGCGAGTGAATCGATCCCCGTAAGCCTTATATTTGCCAATCCTTTCTACTTGGGGTTCAATCCCAACTTTATCAAGAACACCTGAAGACAATCAAAGAGATAAATGCTTTTTTTTTTTTTTTTGCTGGAGAACTGATCATCTAATCTAACAAGACATGGTATTGTTTCCCACACCTGTTTTGTTTTAAAAAAGGGGTCAACTTTGAGTTATCCATGAATCAACAAACTATTCAACAGGAAGCAAACAAAAAATTCTTTAAAAGAAAAGGGCAAAATTACCTCTCAGGAATGATGCTTCAACTGTCAATCCATACAGATAAATGTAAGCAGAAGGAGGCACATAGAGCTCTTCACATGCACAGCCTATATAATATTCTTTCGCTCTAGAAACAGGTAAAAACCCCACAATAAACTTTCCTGTGCCCACAAGTTAAGGACATCTTTTAAGATTATTGCCAAAAAAAAAAGTCTATGAGCTTGCAAGATGTACAGAACTTAAAAGAAAAAGGGAAAAAAAGGACCCAAACACCTGATTTTTTAAAATCCAAAATATGCCTACGAATTTCCTCTGCAGTGGCCCAACCACAGCTCAACTTATCAATGTGAAGATAGATGCCAGAGATACGAGGATCATAAGCAGCTTTTACAAAGTTCTCGCATATTCTAGGCAGTGACAAGTTTGAAGTGGATCTGCTCTTTAACTTTTCACTTATCTGAAATTCAAAACCCCCAAAAAAAAACATTGCTCAAATTAGTTCATCTCACAATATTCAATAGTAGTGACCAAAATTATTCTAACCTTGCCGCCCAATTTCATTGTCAAGACACTGCCTTTCTTCACGCGCTCCCCAGGCCAAGCTAAAAACATCTTACACTTGGCATTAAACTTTCTCCAGGCACCCAGCTCCCGGAGCTCGAATTCCCCACTCGGATACTTATCATCACCGTCGCTGTCATTCTTCTTCTTCTCAGAGCTTGCCAAGTTCACATGATCATCAGCTTCAGCCTCAGGTTTGTCCTCCTTTGTCGACGACATTATGTTGTCGACGATGTTATTGGTGGTCGGAGAAAAGGAGGCCGGATGACTAGAAGTAGAGGAAGAATGCATCAAGGGATCATTTCCTAGTGCATCATGAGAAGCGGATGACTTAGAGGTAGGAGAAGAAGAAGACATGATCATAGTGGTGGAGGACATTTTTTCTTTTGAGTTTTGAGAGTCAGGATATGCTAATACAATTGATATTCATATATATAACAGGACCATATTCATATTTTCTCCGTCCCAAAATGGTTGTCCAGACACTTATTATTTTGTGATACAGAAAAATACTAAAGAACAGTCGTCCAAACAAATGAATGCAGAATTTCGATTCCTGATTAACAAGAATTGGAAACTTGATTGTGTGGATGATGATGAATTGTGGTTGTTAAGGTATGAACACGAGGCAGCTTCGACGACAATTTAAGTTTTAAACTTGCTCATTAGTGCGTGACTGCTTGATGGAACTTCAAGCCGTTGACTGATTGTAAACGTTAACAACCCATCTAATCATCAGTTTCCTTTAAATTTCCTAGTCTAGATTGGTTCAATTTCTATGTCTTACTTTTCAGAATTAGATGGATGGATTGCCCTGTTTTGCTGACAAATGATGAATCCTTTATGTGCAATTTGGGTTATTTATAATGTAATAAGTACAAAATAATACTACTATATCAGTAAGGATCAAATTTAATTTGTTTAATTAATTAAGTCAGCTTGGGTCAATGACGTAGTATTATAGTAGAGCTTGGACCCACATATGTCAACTTGAGTCCAAAATAATAATAATTCCTAAAATGGTGAGGACCTGCAAGACTGCTCTTCCCGCCTTTAACAAAGTTTGGAATTGTTTCAAAGTGAGCCCGTGGCTTAGAATTTAGAAAGAGGCTCCAATAATAGAGCTCTAATCTGACACAGCAATCAGCGCCCATACCACTAGATTAATCATCTGTGGTGTTAAAAAGAGAAAATGTACTCTCATTGTCATGCAAAAACAGTTCAGATTGAATTTTTAACAGAAGACGTACAAGAGTTTTGAAAAATTACTAGATATGAGTAGTATTAAAAATATGTTAAGAGAACAAGTGTACTAAAAGCCAGAATTATAATTTAGTACTCAAAAACTACAAAAATCCTACTTTTTCTGTCCTAAAAAAAAAGAAAAATAGTCCATATTAAATTTTGAGATTTGCAAAAAAAACATAAAATTTTCCGCAACCAACTTGAAGGTACACAAGAAAACTTTCACTAACTGCTTTCATAATTAAGAAAATAAGCTCATTTATCATGTAGGGCAATATTTCCACAAACTTTATAAATCACAGCATCTCAAGGAGAGAATTGTGTACTTCTGGGGATGTTGGCATTATTATTCCATAGGGTCTGACGGAGTTACAACTTACAATAGTTAGTCCCCCCTACTTTCCTCAAAATCAATCTCATTCACTTATAAACCAGACAACGCTGTTAGCTGCAGAATTTTCAGTATAACTCTATTTATGCGCAAAAGAATTGAGTAGTTTATTCCACTGACTTTCGACATACTTCCATGTTTTCCACAACAAAATTTGACAAACCAGCAAAGTCGATCAGAGAAGACCAAAGTAATCTCAAATTCATTGCATGGACATTTTCTTTTTCCTGCCCCAAAACCCTCCTTAGAGAGAAAAGCGGAAAATGGGTACAGAGTGACCCAAGATCTTGGAATCATGATAGAAAATGACAAACTCAAGGAATATAAATTAGAAACAATCAAGAACTCAAGAAACATCTTCTTAATGAAAGTTGTCGTCTTGGGAGAGGATTCACATACTAGCAAAGGAAATCTCCTTTTTGAAACTCAATTGCATAGCGACTATTGGCAAGTTTCTAACTACAGTAGTTTATTCATGAAAAAGCCAATAAACCATGGAAGTAAACCATAAGCCATACAAATAACAGAAATATTACACAACAGACATAAGGATGAGCTCATGCAGACTGAAACAGATTCAATTCAAAAGAAGCTATTCTGCAATCTCCAGAAGCCTGATCACATTCACAAACAAAGTTAACCTTGTATAAAAAAAATTTGAGACTTACACAAGAAGCTCTTCTTTTTGTGTCTCCTCCTCCTTTTTCAGCTCCACTGGAACATTTGGACTTGACACATCCTGCTGGAATTGAAATTTGCTCTATTCGATTGAATGGTTACTCTAAAAGCATATATAACAAACGCATTGAATTAATTTTCTCCATTCCGTTACCCACTGCATGCAATGATCTCACGAGAGTTACAAGTTACAACTTCCCATCTTTTTACCTCAGCAACAAGAATATATATCCTCAAATAATCTTGACTCGGCATCATTGGAACTCATTGATGTGCTGAAATTGAAACTTCCTGATAAGCATCACATCTTATTCCATCATTACTTGCAAAACCTTCTTTTCATCCGCACTTCTAACTTTTAAGCGTTCATCCAATGGGTAAACACAATCTCCAGTTTCCAATCCAACAATGCATAATTGCATGTTGTTGCTTTGGAGATTTTACCAACCTGAACAAAAGCAAATTTCTTGTTACCATAAACAGCAGCTGACTGACTTGGAGAATCAACTGAAGCAGCTGAAATTATTGCTTGGATTCAATCATACGCATAGCTCTGGCAAATCCTAAAAATATCATCAACGCAGCATATCAAGGTGTGTTCTTTTCTTGCCCACCTTTGATGTATGTTGAAACAATGTCGGTTGTGTAACATAATCGAGCTTATCTTATTCTCTATTTTCTTTTGTATGCTCCTGATCTATTGTCAATCAGGAAGCATTTCATCACTTGCTGAAGTTGGGGGAAAGGCCCCTAATATCTTGTAAATGTCCCTGATCTCTTGTCAATCAGGAAGCATTTCGTCACTGGCTATAAAGCTATAGCTTTTCCCTCCAACTTCAGTCCAACTGCAACCTACATCCTTCTGTAGTCCTATCTCTTTCATTCTTCCCCTGACCCTTCTCACATCATCCCATTTCCTAAAAGTAGCATAGAAGTTGGAAACTAGCACATAACTCTCTGCTCTGTTTGGTGCAACTTCCAACAATTTGTCAACAAAGTTCTTTCCCAAACTCAGCTCATTGTGAATTATACACGAACTAAGCAAGGAGCTCCAAATTTTTTCATCTGGTTCAACAGGCATCACACCAATGAGATCTAAAGCATCTGCAAATCGTCCTGCTCGAGCAAGCATGTCAACCACGCATGCGTAATGCTCCAATTTAGGCTCCACACCGTGTAATGGTTGCATCTCAGCCAAATACTTGAGACCATTTTCAATGAGCCCTGCATGGCTACACGCATTTAGAAGGCCAATGAAAGTGAAGTGGTCAGGCTTCAGGCTCAGTTTGCTCATGTCTCGAAATAGCATATCTGCCAGCTCTCCATGTCCATGAATCGCATAACCAGAAATCATAGCTGAAAAAATTGCAGCGTCTTTATCTTGTGACAGATCGAAAATCTTTTCAGAGAATTCTATCAAACCACTTTTCGCATACATGTCAATTAGTGCGCAAACAACCAAGTTGTCCTTCAACAGGTCTGCCTTCAACGAGAAGCAGTGAGCTTCTTTCCCAATCTGTAGAGCTGATAACTGTGAAATGGCACCCAAGGCACTTACCATGGTGATCTCATCAGGTTGATACCCATCAGATAACATCTGACGGAAGCAATCAAGAGCCATACTGGGCAAATTATTTTGGAAGTACCCAGAAATCAATGCATTCCAATCCACCAACCCTTTAATGTCCATCATGTTGAATAAAGCCTGTGCATGCCTCGGAACCTCACATCTAAAGTAGAATGAGATTAGTGAAGAACTAATGAAATGATCTGCTTCCAATCCATTTCTAAGAACAAAACCATGAACTTGTTTACCAAGCAAAAGTAATTTTAAGTGACTGCAGGCAACGAGAAGGTTAGCAACTGTAACTGCATCAGCATTAATGCCCGACTGTCTCATTTCAAGGCAGATATCTAGAGCTTTGGAACAATCCACATTTTGGGCACAGACGGCTATATATGCATTGTAAGTGCTTACTGTTTTACTTTCCGATCTATCGAAGAGAATCCTAGCAGTTTCTATTAAGCCACATCTTGCATATGAAGTTATAAAAGCATTGGATAACAACTCATCTTCAAATCCATGTCTAATAGAATATCCATGAAGTTCCTTCAAGCTCAGAAGCTGGGATGCTGTTGAACAGACAGACAATGTGTTCAACACTGTTACTTCATCAGGCTTCATAATGCTACTCTCAAGATGCATCTTTCTAAGTAGATCAAATGTCCCATCAACATCTCCTTCTCTAGAATAACCCCCAATGATGGAATTCCAGGAAACAACACTCTTATTAGCATTGCTGTCAAAAAGAATTCTTGCTTCGCAAAGAAGACCAAATTTTGAATACGTGTCAACCAATGCATTGGTCACCATCAAATCCTCGGAGATCCCCAATTTCACTGCCAAACCATGAACAACCTTTCCCTTCATTAAACCTCCGTCCCCAGCACAAGCAGGCAAAATAATCACCAAAGTTGTCGAATCTGGAGACAGTTCCTCGGCCAATAATAATTCAAAAAACAAGTTGAAACTTTCTTCAAAATGCCAACTTTGAGACATCACAGAAATGATAGAGTTCCATGAAACCAAGTTCCTCTCAGGCATATGTTCAAACAGTCTACTGGCATCATGAAGAGACCCAAACTTCCCATACATAACTATCAAAGCATTGTTGACATAAACATCAAAAGCCAACCCCAATTTCACAGCCATTCCATGGATTAACTTTCCAAAATCCACATCCAAAATTTCCCCACAAGACTTAATCACGCAAGGAAACGTGAAATTGTCAGGTCTATATCTCGTCGTCAAAACCAGCTCCTCAAACAAGCATAAAGCATCACAGTATAACTCATTTCTTGTATATCCTTTCAAAAGTGCATTCCATTGATAAAGATTTTTCTCCTGTAACCTATCAAACACAAAGCGAGACTCTAATGGAGAACCACACATTGAGTACATTGTAATTATTCGAGTATTGAGTACAGGGTCGTCTCTCAAATGGGTCGACGTCCTTATCAATCTGTGAACTTGTCTCCCAATTTCAATGTCTTTCTGCACACCACAAGCCTGTAACAGTATTCCCAATGCTAAACTTTTTTGGGTTTGATCAAGAAAGGTTTCTCCCGGGTTTCCTTGAAGCAAATCCAAGGCTTCAGTGAGAAATTTAGATTCGCAAAGCTTTGTTATTTCACCAAGCAAAGAACTTTCAGTAACTGGGCTAAGCGAATTCGTGCCCAGAACAGGAGGGGGAATTGTGGGAACAGGGAATTTGCGTAATGGATTAAGGATTGGATTTCGAGTTGATTTATGATAATGGTGACAGTGGTGGAAAATAGGGAGGGGATGATGGCACGGAAAGAATGGCGCCACCACAGCAACAGCAGCCATGGTTGAAGAGAAAGCCTCTGCATCTGCCTGCTCAGGTGGATGAAGCGGGGGTTGACCTTTCAGTTACTTTGTCTTTTTCCCTCGTAAGATTTTTTTGCGGGTTAATTCTTTATTGGAGTATATTATTATTTATTATCATCATTTTTTATTTTATTTTTTTGGTTTCCACTACAGTTATTCAGTTTTCTACTGATTCATACACGAGATAGTCTGGCATCGTTTGTCATTTGTGGAGATAACTTCGGTTCTTGACGGATTATCAATCAAAAATCAAGCTCGGATGATGGAGAGATCAGATGTGTAACTTTCAAACACTTTACGGGACAACTGCACAAGACTTTACCGTGTATTCTCGCCACCGGGAAAGGCAAGAGTAAGGTTTTGGATGATACTAAGATCTTGTGTTTGTAGAAATTGTCACATACTAGGGCAACTCGTTTTGTTAGAACAAAACTTATCTATTAAATCTTTGTCATACTTGCAGTCTGCACATAAAAGAAACATTTGACAGTAAATCAGAGGGAACCCAGGTAATCCTTCAGCATTCTTAATATGGGACTAGGATAATCGTCCCCATCTAATAGCTGGAACATTATCCCATCCATGCGTGCTTGAATTCCTTCAGAAGATGCCAACCCGTCTAATAAATTCAAGATTCTGTCGGCTCCAGCAAGAGAGCTTCCTATGCCAGTTAAAAGTTCTGGCAGAGATGGTGACGGCCTAACCAGCTCAACAAGTGTTACCTGGACGCAAAGTTGCAATCACTATGAGAACAGACAAAAACTGAACAGAAAGGAGATTGTAACTCAAACAACGTCATCTTGCAAACACCAAGTGGAGCAAATGAGGAAACTATCCTACAGCAGTATTTATTTTAAGATAATGAAATGCTTCACATATATTTTAAGACACCATTCAAGTCTCTTTCATCAGATTTATTGTAAGATGACATAATCAAAATGTTAGTTCACTAGACGGACAGTTGAAGATACATGGAATCGGTTGCAATATCACTAAACTGATTGGTAAGTGGACACGGCCAGTCCCATGTCAGATGTAGAACTAAAGATTCTTTTACAGGACAGTAAGGGGCATGGAAGTTTCCCAAATCACAACCATACTTCAACCAAGTGATGGAAAATTGTAACAGAAATACCTCATGATCTTGTGGTATATTTGCCTTTTCTTTTGCTATCGCAACAGAACGACGAAAACCACCAATAGCATCAATTAATCCTCGCGAAGCCGCATCATTGCCTGTCCAAACTCTACCTTGTGCCACTTCCTCCATTTTCTCTACCTGCCACAGTAAATGGGAAGTTTGAAACTACACTTTCAAAAATTGCTGAATGCAGGCCTGCATAATTGGTGCGCACTTACAGGCATTGATCTTGAGAAGGCAGCCTTGTCTCGAAATTGCCTATATGCATTCTGGGCCGACTTAGCAAAGAGTTCTTCCTCATCTGGTCTGCAGTTAAGATAGTAATGCAATTACTTCAAAAACCAAAAATGAAATCCGGGGAAGGAATGAACAGCAATGATAACCGTTATAAGAATAATCTGGCCCTTTATTTCTTCTGCCAGTGCGGAGACATGTATTACTAGTTTAAGGCAGGTTGGTTTGATGATCAAGGCTGTTCAAATGGCATTTGAAAAATGCATAGACATGGAAATGGCTTTGACGCACAAGGTTGAGGACAGGATTAACAGGCTAACTGTTTGTATCCAACAGTCTCTAAAGGAAGTAGAGGGTTGAAATCAACAGAAGCAAATAGATATCATGACATTAAGTTCCTTTCAAAAGCAGTTAAGAATGGCTGCTCCATTAATTTCCCCTGATAAATCTGCCCATAATACAACAGAAACTAACCTGAATGGACGTTGATCAGCAGCAGTAAGCTCAGCAAATCTTCCCCTGGATATTATTTCCTTGTTGAAACCAATCTTTTCATACAATTTTCCAAGATTGAACTTCCCTACAATCCAAAAACCAAAATAAACTAAATGTCGACAAAATAAGAGCACTTCTCCAACATCTCCAAAAGAAGCTTATCTGCTACCAAAGTTACTCGAAGAATAAATATTCACAGGTCTCAAACAAAAAGATTGTATGTGGCCTAAAATACATCCACATTAATCCCCTAGGAGCTTTGCATGCCTTAGCAATTCCATGAATCAAAATCAATAGCCATTTATATTACCCAATTCTTGGCGGAAAAGAGGAATACTCTATCAATATGCAATGTAAATCAAAAAAGAAAATAGCAGATATTGCATCAGGTGACTGGTAGAGGACTTGGTTTGTCAACTGAGTACAAACAAATCCTATTTTCAGATAGCTCATCATTATGTAGCAGATGACAAAGAAATGATAGCTATATCTCTTGACCCTCATTTAATATTCCAAGTGAAACTTACTGTTACTGCCAGCATATGTGATCTACAACCTAATGTAACTTGGCTTGGAGTTAATTCTGAAATGTTCTTCCCACAAATTAAACCCAAGGAAAAGGTTAAACATTAGAATGACAAATCGCACTTCAACTGAATTTATCTCAGCCCTCCAGGTTACTGCCATAAGAATGCATCATAAAACTACAAATGTAGTATTAATCACAGAACAGGTACATAATGATGGAAGAAGAAAGCACTCTAAGTAGAGATTCTAAGGTTACCAGTCACAACTCCAATTGAACCCGTTAATGTGAGATTCTCTGCAACTATGACACCAGTTCCCATTGCCATATAATATCCACCACTTGCTGCCACATCACCCATTGAAGCAATTACAGGCTTTGACTCTGCCAATAGTCTGATTTCTCTCCACATTCTGTAGAACATCACACAAATAATACATTAAAAAAAAAGTTAACCCAAAAAATAATAATAATAAACATAAAACTAGCTAATATTTTCTAGTTGACCAAGGGAAAAAAAAGAAAAGAAAAGAAAGATAATAAATTGTGCTTGTAAGTGCATGCATCAGTGTCCAAATCCACATATCCTCAAAATCCGGGAATTTTCTATTGATAAAATGGTTCCGAAACTGTATCAGAACACAGACGAGAAAAATATATGAGCAAAGTCATATTGCCTGGTATCAAAGCATTGTGTCTGATCAAGTGTGAACATCCACATGTCTCTAGGTACGTCATTTCTCAAAGAGAGTACAATAAGCACCATCATCAAAATACAGGGTATAGAACAGATGTTCAGCAACTCAAGACGCTATTTACAGTTGTTATAATGGACACTATTAAAGCAAGAGAAAGAGATCATTTCGCAGATAAAATGCACCCATTAATTTCCTGGTCATCTCTCATCAAGCAAATTCATCAGCTGTTTTTCTGTTGCTTCAGTTTGTGTAATCTTCTTATTTGGATAACTAACCTGAACCCATTTCTTTTTCTTGTTTTCTTTAACTTGTTTAGAATATTATCCACATTTCAAATTCACATACTATAAGTCGTACCAGGTGTCAAAACTAAACATGGTTCAAAAAAATGACTTACAAATCAGAAGCAAGAGCATCACCTCCAGGACTATCAATGCGGATGATAACAGCCTTGTACTTTTTTGACTCTGCAAAAGAGGAAAAAAAAAAAAAAAAGAAAAAAGAACTAGAGATTAACCATTATGTACAATTTTAATGTAGAAAAATAACAGGATGTAGAGATAGACAGAATGTACCCCTGGCACTACGGAGCTTCTCAACAATATCCTCAGCAATAATTCCAGATCCACGCATACTAAACGGACCACGTGAACGACTAATACTTCCAGACGCTCTGATTACAGCTATCTGGTCCTTGTGCCCCGTTAAACCAAGAGTCCCTCCCCTAACCGCAGAGTATTTTCTGCAAAGAAGAGATGGCAAACTTCAATTAAAACCAGATATAAGAAGAAAACAGAAATTACACAGGTAATTATGAGTTTCAAGATTTTCAGGTACAATGTTAGAAGAATGACTCAAATTGACATAGCTGCCATTCCCAAACTATGAGCAAGCAAATTTTAATTGCAGGATTTTTCCCCTTTTAACAATTTTCTGCAGTTTTTTTGCTTCTATCTCACATCATCTTCAAGAACTTGACGACACAGCAAAAGGAACAAAGGATTAGCCTTTAATAATAATTCATATATTGTATTATTAGATAGACGCAAAGTGTATGTAGAGTCAGAAAAGATTTTTTCAGACTTTGCAATTGAAATATTCAAACGCATAGTTGAAGAGTAAAGTGTTATCCACAGGCTCAGTGGTAGATGCGAAGGAAGAGTCACCTGTAATCAACAGTAGGAAGACTCTTATCCTTCGGAAGTTTCAGGCGCTCCTTCAACATGGACATCACCTATATATATTGTTATGGCCAATCAGAGAGCTATGAAGATCATCCAAGCAAAACCAAGAATATTAATAAGCTAAACTTGGCATTTTGATGACTTATAAACAAACTATCTCCTCCAGTTTATTACATAAAACTCACATTAAATACGATCGAACTAATCACTCATGGAGTGCCCGCATTCACATCAAAGCTAACAAGGTAAAAGGAAAAAGGACCATTTGTTCCATTCGTACTAGTCAGCCAGATGCGACTTAGAGCAAGACCTAGTACAAAGGAATTTCAGGCTACTTTGCACAAAAACACGTTCTCCATATTTGATGAGCATCATCAAGAATACTAAAGTGAAAAAAAATAAACTAGACAATAGTGGTCCTACAATTAAATTTCAGGACAATTCCAGAGTTGCAATGTCTTTATTTGAAAAGCGAACCCCACAGGAATGACCTTGTACAAGCAGTAACTTGGAATATGATCTGACCGTGCTGTGTGCTCTCATATTTTCTCGAGAGTACTGCTAGAAAACGCTGTTATCTTGGACCTAGCAAATAGATTTAGTTAAATGTCTTCCCAATTCCTATCAACTCAAGAAAACACTTACATACTAGATGCAACCACGAAATTTAGCAACTCTGAGACTCTATTCAGCTGATTATGGACTAATAATTGCACAGATGAAGAGAGAAAACTTTACCTTGAGAGAGAGAGAGAAAGAGAGAGAGAGAGAGATAATAAACTTTACCTCATCATCGTACTTTATATCTGTTATCCATCCATCTTCTTTCAACTGTTCAATTTTGTATACACCTTCATTTATAAAATTTTCTATATCTTCTTTCTTCTTACCTGTTCAAAAGTACCAAGAGCCGGATTAATAGAAAGAGAAGAAAAGTTACTAAGCATCAACCTTGACATAATGATCCAAATAACCTTTGGCTTGGGATACTTTATCAACCCAATTGTTATAAATGTTGTCAAGCAACGCAGTCAGCATCTCTCGGTTCTCTTCAGATATATTTTTGCGAGTGAGTTGATCCCCAGCACTCTTATATTTGCCAATTCTTTGCACTTGAGGTTCAATTCCAACTTTTTCAAGGACACCTGAAAACAATTTCTGGTCCAAATTTACAGCAGTCACACTTTAATCAACACTGTACGAACAAAAACTACGAAAAATATACACGCACGTGCATTGTTAATCATCGAATCAAGAGAACAGTGCTCTTTCTCAAGTGAACTAATTATCTAAAATACATGGTCAACATTCTTTCTCAAGACAGTGTCAAAGCCATGACATGTTTTCTTTTCAAAAAGTTGTCATCCATCCGCAAAAAGAATAACACCTGTACTTGCCAAATTAAAGGCCAAATTAAAGAAATGAAGGTCTCATTTATCTCCCAAAATCCTCCAGTCTAGCCACACTATTGCCCATTGTTCACTTGACACAGACACATCCCGCACCTTTGCCATGAGTGTTTACTTAACTATTTGACTGGAAACAACCCAAGAAAGGAAAGGGGGAAAAAAAATAAATTACCTCCCAGGAATGATGCTTGAACTGTCAATCCATACAGTGAAAAGTAAGCACTAGGAGGAGCATAAAGCTCTTCACAAGCACAGCCTATATAATACTCTTTCTCTCCACAAGCAGGCGCAAATCCGACAATAAACTTTCCTGAAAAGAGGGAATCTTCAGTATTGCAGCAAAAGGCCTTTGATCATTCATGATAGATCTTTAAAAAGGAGAAATAAAAACCTGATTTTTTGAAATCTAATATGTGCCTACGAATTTCTTCTACTTTGCCCCAACCACAATTCAATGGATCGATGTGGAGATATATGCCAGAGATTCGAGGATCATAAGCAGCTTTTATAAAGTTCTCACATATTTGAGGCAGTGACAGTCCTGAAGAGAAACGGCTCTTTAACTGATCAGTTATCTGAAAGAAGAAACATAGTTCAAATTATACAATATTCAATCAGCCATACCCCCTCAAGATATTCAAATGACTTATCATCTGGAGGTCATTTGGCTCTACATGTAGAAAAGAAAATTAAAAAAATCCTTCGACTCCAGCTTTCAATATTTTATCCTGTTCTACATAATTCATATCATCATCCCTTAATCTCACTACTATCAGTGACAATGTAAGTCAACTGGAACAATACTGGCAAAACTACACTTTCCACAATCCAAAAACATACAATTAAGATAAATTTGCACATTCCTCTAACCTCTACAAATATGCAATTGATACATTATCATACCTTTAATACACCAGAAAACCATAGACGACACTGAAGCCAATAAAAATCAACCATAAATGCATAATCCATGCCTTACAATGGATTAACGGAGCATACAAAAAGAAAAGTAGAAAAAAAAAAAAAGAAGGAATTATTCTATATAGATTAGATTAGATAGCCGATAAATTATACTCTCTACAGGAGGAAAAGGAACCTGGCCGCGCAATTTCATGGTCAAAACACTGCCTTTCCTCACGCGCTGCCAAGGCCAAGCAAAGAGCATCTTACACTTGACAGTAAACTTTTTCCACGCACCGAATTCCCGGAACTCGAATTCTCCACTCGGATACTTGTCTTCGCTACTGTCCTTCTTCTCGGATGTTATAGTCGAGCTGGCATCCTTTCCGGTTTCAGAGCTTCCCAAATTCCCATTTTCAGCTTCTTCAGCCTTTGGTTTCTCCTCCGACGATGATACAACTCCGTCGTTTTTGGTATCGAAGGCGTTAATCGAGAAACTTCTCTGCGGATGAGAAGAGTATATAAGAGAGGTAGGACGACTACGGGGAGCTGGTTTTAGAGGATTGTAGAATCTGGAAGACGGCGAATTGTAGCCGGAGATGAGGAAAGTTGAGATGATACTGGAGCGGATATGTACGGCGGTGAGATGAGAAGTGTGAAGGAGAAGAAGCTTCGACGACATTTTTTTCTTGCAATTTAGTGAGTGACTGCGTGTCGGAAGTTCAATCGAACCGGTGGTTATAGTGTTTCAACGGAATTTCAAATTACCATTTCTGACGGAGGGAGAACGCTGGTGGCTGGGCGATCCAGATTACCACCATTCGACGGCGGTGGCTGCTCATACGCCACGTCACTGATTCTATTTTGTACTCCCTCATGTCCTTAATATTCCCTTCCGGTCCTTATTATAAAGTTTCATATGAAATATTTTAATTTTTTCCTAAGTTTCATCTGTTACGTATTTTTAATTGACAAATAAATTATAAAAATATTTCATAACAATCAAGAATTGAAAAAAATATAAGTAGGGTTGGTGATTAATCGAGTAGACACGAGACCAACCGCCTGACCTGAAATCCGTTCGAACAAAACGGGTCGGCTAATGGATTTAATCGGAGGAATTTCGACTCCACCCGATTAAACGATTAGCTTATGCAGTTTGGGCTCGGTTCCCAGAATTATTTTTGGGCTATTCGATAAACCCGATTAAGTTTATTTTTTATTATTTTATTTGTTAAATATATAAACTCTGCATGTTTCATTTTAGGGTTAAGTCTTTCTCTCTTTTTCTTTCTCACAAATTAGTAGCCCGGCTTTCTCCTCTCTCTCCTCCTCCTTTGTTTCTTCTTCTAAGCCGCCGCCCAGAACCAAACGTCGATCTCCCCTCTACTTGCACCTCTACGGCTCCATGACCACACAATCCACCAATTTCACTCCACCACTTCCCACTAATTTGGTAATACTCACTCCGTTCTAAAATAAGTGTCGTTTTACCAAAATAGAAAAATTTCAAAATAAGTGTTGCTCTCAGATTTCAATGTACTTTTTGTCCAAATCTTCCAAAATTACCCTCAAAAGAATTAGTACTATTGGTGGACATTTTTTTAAATGGGGTTAGTTGAGAATATTCAAGTAATTTTATTACTCTATTTAAGAGTTCCTTAATCTATGTGCAAACTATAGGATGACACTTATTTTAGAATGGATGGAATACAATCCACCACTTCCAACCACCACAATCCACAAATTTCACTCCAGATCTACCAAATTTTAACTCGATTCATCGAAAATTCGAAGGCCAAAGGGAAAAATTAAAAAGCTGCTGTGAAGAGTGAAGAAAAAAAAAACTACTAAATCACCTGAGGTAAGGATACCTTTCACCATCAAATCTGACCGTCCCATTTGTTCTTCTTTCTGATCTAAATAAAAATTGTCCTTCTTAACTATTTTGTTCTTCTTTCACCATCGCATTGATTATTTCTTTTTCTTTTTATTTTAAGAAAATATTTGTTGGCTTCTTTGGTTAGTTGGAAACTTGGTCACTTGAAATCCTCGGATGTTTTTTAATCTTGACAAGGTCAAATATTATTTTTGTTTTGGTTTGGTTTTGAGGAATCAGGCTTCTTTGGATCACTTGGTTTCTTTGAATTTCTGAATTTGCAGGCTGTCAAGTTGAAGACTTAAGTTGAATTGTTGAAGACTGAACTATGCAGTGCCAAATTGAAGACTAAGGAAAGAAGACTGAAAACTTTTATGAAATCTGCTTTCTCCAAATTATATTCTGTTTTAGATCCTTGAAGACGTCTTGATGCTTGAACCTGTACTCGAATTTTCGATGTTCTGTTTTTTAATTCGTACTCGACAGTGGACTGTGACCTTATAATGAAACTTTTAAATTTGAAGGATCATTTTGTTGGAAATTTTTGCTGATTTAAGGTTAAGAAAATTTCAGGTTGTATTGGTTCTGAATTTCAGATTCTGAATTTCACTGAACTTGCATTATTTTGGTAACCGAAATCTGAACCGATATATCCGATTATTTGTTAGGTCGGTTCAGTTCGGAGTAATAGGTTAGGCGGTTCGGTTTCGGGCGGGTCTTGCGAGGGAAAAAAATTCGATTAACCCGAACCGCCTGAATTAGCAGTCTTAAATATAAGACATTTTGATTTGTCATAAGTTTAACCTAGTATATATTTTTAATTAGAAAAAAACTCTTAAAAATATTTCATAACAATTAAGATAATACAATAAATGTGAAAATATATTTTTAGAGATTTTTCGTCAATTAAAAATGCGTATTATGTGGAACCTAAGATAAAATAAAAATATCTTATATTACGGATCAGAGAAAGTATTAAGCATCCTCAATGCTTTTATTCGTTTAAGTAAAAAAGGTTGTCCCAACTTGAACACGAATATATTGTAATAGGATCACATGTTTTTAAAAAAATTTGCCCAATGGTGTTACCAATTTATGTGATCCTACAAGAATTAGCATTAGAGACATTTATATCAAGCGGGCCACCTATAATTCACTTTTATCAGAAAAAGTAGCGTAACACACAGAGTCGCGCATATATGCAAAATACTCTTCGCAATAGTGTGGAGTAAAAGTGCGTGTAATTGACCCAACTTTAATGCTAGTTACGCAGTACTGCGGATGCTCTTACTAGATTCTCAAAAGTTAATGGCAAAACCCATTTTTCTCTTAGTTTTTTAAGAAAATATTGTATTTTTAAAATTTTCTTCAGTAATGAAAATAAAATTTTGAAAATCCTATTAAAATGGTTTATATGAAGTAAGTTAACCATTCACCTCCCTTGTTATCGTGTATTAGGATATTTGCATCTCACTTAAAAGAGAGTTTTTCTTTGGCGAATTCTTAGGTGGTACCAGGTGTACAGTGGTTCCTCTTCTATTTTTTTGTACAAGTGATCTTTAATGTACGTTTTCTCAATTTTCTTATATTTTGCAAGTTTAATCCATGTTATTTTTTTTTTTTGTCCTTAGAAAATGTTTTTGATTTTCAAACGAGCATATCTCATGGTCCGTGAAGAATTTATAAACGAATTATACATAAAATTTGCAGTACTAGATGAGATCTATCCAACAAGAATGATATCGATAATTTTTTTCAAACTTTAAATGCATTTAAATTTTATGAGCAGAAATTAAGGAATATATATATATATATAATTATCTATTGTATTCATACTGATTATGCAACCGGTTTAAACTCATTATCAACTTTGTTTATACAGCTTATCCATTCATTTCTTTTTTTTTTATTTGGAAAATGCTTGCTCACTATGTTCATAGTGATTATCCAATTGGTTGCTATTGTTTATCCAACCATTTCTTTTCTTTTCTTTAATCAAAATTCTTGTCCAATTTTTGTAATACTAATTATCAAGTCTTTTGTATTGCTTATCTTATAATTTTTACTAATTTGCTAAACAGATTTGTGTGCTTGTCCAATCATATTTTCTCTTTTTTTTTCTTTTATTAGAAAATAGTTATCCAATATATTCATAGTGATTATCCAACTGTTTATTTGTACTTATCCAGCTTTTTTTTTTTTTTATTTTCTTCTTTATGAAAATCTTTGTCCAATATATTTCTACTGATTATCCAATTGGTTGGTATGACTTATTCAACATATATTTTTTTTAAAAAAAAATGGTTGTCCAATTTATTCATAGTGACTATCGAACTGCTTGGTACTGGTTATCCTATTTTTTTTTCGTTTTTATGAAAATCCTTATGCAGTTTTTGTACTGACTATCCAACCATTTTGTATTGGTTATCCAATCTGCTTATCCAAATGTGTGATTTGTACTCTTTGTCCAATCATTTTTTTTTTGAGAAAATATTTGTTCAGTATGTTTATACTGATTATCCTACTTTTATTTGATCTTTTTTTTCTTTTCTTTTTTAATCAAAATAACTGTCCAGTTTTTTATATGAATTGTTTAACCAGTTTTTACAGCCGATTAAATTATTTTTTTATTTGTCTAGTGTGTTCATACTAATTATCCAACTGCTTGGTACTGCTTATCTAACCAGTTTTTTGTTCTTCATTTTTTATGAAAATTCTTATCCAATTTTTGTTATACTGATTATCCAATCGTTTTGTATTGCGTATCTTATCATTTATATTGTTTGTCCAAACAGGTTTGTATGATTGTCCAATGTGTTCATACTAATTATCCAACTGCTTAATACTGGTTATTTGTAGTGATTATCCAACTCCTTGGTATGACTTATCCAACAGAGTTTTCCTTTTTGTTTTTTCTTTTTTTAAAAAATGTGTGTTACCAATCGCTTGATACTGCTTATCCAACCATTTCTTTTCTTTTTTATTTTTCTGAAAAAAATTGTCTAATATGTTCATAATTATTATCCAACTACTAGGTACTACTAATAAAAAAAATAGAAAAAGATTTTTTAATTTTTATAAAAAAAATCCTTTTTTATTGCTTTGGTAATGCATATTCATATATTTGGTGTTGGTTATCCATTTATTTTGTACTGAATATCCATCCTTTTTGTATTATTTTTTTTCCTTTTTCTTTTGTTAAAAATCTTTATCTATTGTTTTGGTACTATATATCTCTCCATTTGGTGTTACTTATCCATCATTTTTTTTTGGGCTAAATGGAATGTACGATCACTTTGATGTTATTGCGAGGATAAATAAGTTTGAATGTAAATATGTTTAGAGATGGTAGTACATTATACAAACGGCTGGATATGCGCTACATTAGAGTTGGAGAAGAAGTAAAAAAAGATGGATAAGCATTACAAAAAGAAAAATACGTGTACAAACTTGATAACATTGGACCGATTGGAAAAGTATAATAATGTTATGATTGGAAAATGCAAGTAGGATACGAAAAATGTTCCAAATTTCCTTTTTCTTTCAAGAATTTTGATGAAAATAGAAAAATTATTGTTTGGATAACTAGTGTTTTACCCGTGCTTTGCATGGTGAGAAAATTATAATTATATTATCCTATGTTTTTTTACGTTAAATATGAGTGTATAATTTCAACATATAAGAAAAATAATGAAGGTGTATAAGAAATATTAGTTTTGTTTATAAATAAGATAAAACGAAAAAAATTAAGGGTGTATACAAAAATTCAAAGCCTTTGTACCATTATTAAAAAATGTATCCGA